CATACGAATGCACAAGTTTTTTTTTTTTTTAAACTGTGGCATGTGATAATCAAAAATATGATTTTTTTTTTGTGGACCAAAACATCTATTTTTTTTAATATAGCATTATGTACCGGTACAACACAACAGAATTTGTTGACTGTTGCCTACTACCACATGAATAGTTATACCAGTATACTAAACTGAATATTACCAATCTGACTGTTGGATGTATGTATAGGATTCTATAGAATTAGTCTTACCATATCGACTAGACATATCCATATAAAAAGACTAAAAAGCAGTGTTGCTCATTTGGATCAAACAAAACTGGGTTGCCATGGAAACAGGGTCATACAAATGTATACGTGGTAGTTTTCAAAGCATGAAAGCCAACATTTATTCTTCTTTCTGATACAATGCAAAACATCTTTATATAATTAAAAATTTTGTAGCAATTCCCCAAATCTAATTTATCCTAGAATTATTTCAAATAGCGTATTTACAGAGTTTTTGTTAAAATTTAACAATAAACAACATGATAGATGTTCGAACCTAGTCTTCTATCAATCAACATCGTTTTTTCGCATGATGATGGACGGTTGATATGTTTACATTTTGTGCGTACATACGCTATACAGGATGAATGTGGACTACATGTATATACAGCAAAAAAATCATGTTTAAAAAAAATCGTCTTCTATTTATGTAGATTCTTTCTAATTATAGAGTTGAAACGCTAAAGTCACCGTGCAGCGTGCATTCAAATTTTGTTGCATCAAACTTGCGTCATGATAACAGGCACCCTATAAAGGCAGTCCTTCATCGTCATAGTGATCGTGATGCGGCCTGGCAACTGTAGTGCTTTAATTTTGCATTGCATACAGATATACTGCTGATATGAAATGAGTATGGATAAGTCTGTATTAAAGCAGTTCTCAGATGTCTGTGTCTCTATTGCTCAGTTGGCTGTATCTAAACGTCTTGTCCGGATTAGACTTTTTGTACTTTTTGTAAAGTCCTACAAACACCAACAAAGATGCCAGCACCATGAGCACTAAGCCAAATATGATGGAACCAAATTTAATAGTTTGATCTTCAAACATCGTATTCAGTGAATCAAAATCTGAAATAAAAATAAAAGTAAAAATTATTGCATTTTGTTAATATGTGAAAATGAGATAAAAAAAAAGTGCGAGTTTAATTTGCATTACTGATAAACATCAATTCTAGTGTGGGAAATTAACTAGTCTATTTCATCTCATTACACTTGTGAAAACGTAACCATAGTTCTTAAGATTGATAAATCATTGAACACTGGCAGATATGTTAACAAAACTTTTTTAAAATAGCGTACATGGTCTCTGCTGCTTGTTGTATATGTTTATGTTTGTTAAATTGTGGAATTAAACTCGCCACAGTTGATATCCTGGATTGGGTTTGATATGACATTATAGAATATAGACCATAGTTTCTCTATTATACAAGCATGCATAGATTGACTAGAGGTTTTTTTTATGGTCAAAATAAGTCATATTGTAATGCTCCGGTATAAGTATCGTGCTTTATGGTATATATACAGTTCTATTAGAGCAAATATGTCCTATAAAATACTCTTATTAACACAAAATTTAAATTACGCATACATTGTGACTTTTGCTTTGATCCATGGAACTCTGTGAGTTGAAGAGTTAACAAAAAATGTTGCTTGCTTGCAAATAGGCAATTTTTATATTTTAAAAATGTAATGGTTTTCAATATGCCAGCAATAATATTTATTGACAAATTTACAAATATGTAGTTTCCAGTACAAAACATTTATTTTAAAAAACTGATACTATGAAAAGACTTTTTGGGTGTTTTGTATGGAATTTATTTTCACAGATTTTTGGCAATTTGAATGTAAAATGTGGGGGAAAATGTATATGCGCTGGATTTTATTATCACTGAATCATTACATCAGCGAAAATAGCGAAAATTAATTTCAAGCAAAAATAAGTATTTTACAGTATGTATTCATCTCGTATGTTCATTTATGGTTTTATAATTATTTATGATATGTTAAAACTTTAACTTAAAATTTGTATAATGATAATTTATTCAATTTGTGTTGAAAATGATTCTAGTTGTATTATCGGGGGTAATATCTTTTTTTTTTTATTTTTCATGATAGCTTGATATAGATCATACTTTCATTTTAAATTCTGACTGATGATTTGAGTTTTACATATTATGATTGTACTCACTTAAAAAGCACGGCAAATTGTTGCAGCTTTCCCTGGTTGTTGGTTTGTCCACATTGGCGCATACTATCTCGTCCAACTCCTTTTGGTATGTGCTGTTGTACCAGGCACAAGTCACTGTGCGTGTTTTGTTTCCTCCACTGCACTCAGCACTGCAGTTGCTGTAATCGCCAACTATCCAACTGAAACCAAGACAAGATTTTATTTATTTATTTATTTTCATCATTCTACTTATTGGCTGTGGCATGTACTTGTCACAAAATCCTAGCTTATCAATAACGAAAGTACAGAAATCTGAAATCCCAATCATATGTATACGTACATTGTATATGTATGTATACTAATAACCTTTTTACCACAAAATCGCCCAAATTTGTCTGCACTTTTTTCTTACATTCTTCAATATTTCTGGAAATAAACTCCAATTTCAAAACCAACAGACACATTTTGAGTCAATTTTTAGTTTTTACTTAAAGAAATTGGTTATTCAGGCTCAATCTTCTGAAGGAAAGTGCAGACTATAAACAGAACTATTGTATTTTGTGAATTTGTGATAGAAAGAGGGAATTGGTGGTGAAAAGCTTAATGTTCTTATGCAAGTGTTGGGTAAGGTTCTTGTACAATGACTGTTCAACACAAAAACCAACTGACATCAGAACCATTTACTTGTATTGGTAAAATTATACAAACATTGAAATTAACAGTTTATAATTAATTACAGTTAAACCATACACTGAAATACATCGCTTGCTATCTGCTATACTAAGCTCTAACTGACGTTGTTTATTCATACTTAAGAATAAAAATAACCGATTATGCCCATGAATCAAATCAAATTGATTGTAGGCTTACAATATTGAGCTTGACAACAGTTTCCAACAACAAGAGAGTTACTGACCCGATCTGGTAAGCTGGATAGGTTGCTGTTGTGATTGGTTGTTCAGTCGGAATTAATTGTTCTTCTGGTGGATATCCGGTTTTGTCTCCAGTCTCCGGGTTATATTGGTCTTGTGGATACCCGGTATTGTCTCCAGTCTCCGGGTTATATTGGTCTTGTGGATATCCAAAATTTTCTGGGTTATTTTGGTCTTGTGGATATCCAGTATTCTCTCCAGTCTCCGGGTTATATTGGTCTTGTGGATATCCGGTATTGTCTCCAGTCTCCGGATTATATTGGTCTTGTGGATATCCAAAATTTTCTGGGTTATTTTGGTCTTGTGGATATCCGGTATTGTCTCCAGTCTCCGGGTTATATTGGTATTGTGGATATCCAGCATTTTCTTGGCTATTTTGGTCTTGAGGATAACCGGCACCTGGGTTATAATCTGTTGGTTGTTGATATCCGTTGTTGGTTGATGTTTCTGGAGGATACTGCCCAGGGTTGTATTCATCATCTTCATCCCATTCAGAGAATAGACTGCTGTCTTCATTCATCCACCACTCTTCTTCATCTTCATCCTGTAATCCAGTTTCTCCTTCTGATAACACCGGTTTATACTCGCATATACCCTTCTTGCACCACTGTGGATACACAAAGGTAATGAAAGTTGTTACATGTCAATTCAATTCAATTCAATTCTGACTATGATTCATTCTCCTCAGACCAAATTGTGAGAACTGGTAGAGAATTTATTAAAGCGGATTCAGGCTTAATTATGTCATCTTCTTTCAGACATTTAGTACAGATAATGCGAACACTAATTAATATATTTCTCTCAGAAACATCTAGGATTGCATTGTACTAGTAAAACACTTAAAAGTGGGTGAATTGCATTTGCTCGACATAGCCAATAGACCTGCTACTATAGTTAATAAAATAATGGTTATTAATTATTAAACGATTAATAATACTTAATTATTCACCTTCTCACTGCCACATGAGGTGCCATCTAAAGGAGGTTGAGGGTTAGTTAAGCAGAACGAACTCTTGGACGCTTGAAAGCACCTTAGTTTCAAACATTTTTCCTGTTAAATGAAAAAAAAAGTGTTCAAACAAATAGGTGACATTGTTTTTTCACCATTATTCTTATTCTGTTGTCTTGTACTGGCATTGTCATCTTTCACAATTACTGTAAAATACTTTATTTTAGCTGGAATTTATTTTCGCTTAAAAGACTTTGGGTGTTTTGTGTGGAATTTATTTTCACTGATGTTTGATGACTTGAATGTAAAGTCTTGGAAAAAGATACCGGTATATTCGCTGGATTTTATTTTCACTGAATCATTCCTTCAGTGAAAATAGCGAAAATAAAGTATTTTACAGTATTACAGACTGTGGTTAAGAGGTTAAATACTTTTGTATTTTTGTATCCCAACTTGGCAGAAAGTTTAAACTTGACCTTGAAAGTGAAAAGTTAGATGTACAATAGACCATTTTTAGTTGACTGTGAGATCTCGCGTTATGCATGAAATCAAATGTCAAAACAGGAAAAACAAAGGTCAGAGTGGCGTCAAAACATGAAAGTATTTGGGGTCTCTTTCCACACTCAATAATGTGCTATACACATTTGGTGATAGTCAGTTTTGAAGAAGTAAAGATATCTAAACACAATATTCCCCCATCAAAGATTGATATTTTGACATTGAACTATAAAAAAAAAATTCAAGTTCAAAATGGAATAAAATTTTTTGGCAGACGTTCAGTTGGCGCTTTTCATGCAATACATGAAATCTTGCAGAACAGAAATTCACCTATTAATATATTGTATCTCAGGTAAATGTGTAAATATGATCTTTGTCCAATTTAATTATTCAATAAAATAACCATTCATTAAACTTTTCTACAACAAACCTAAATAACATCTACCAGTAATATTATACCAGTTTTACACCACTAATACATGGAAGCATTCCCTGGTCTTCAATTTTACTGTGTTGATATTTCAAGCATGTTCACTGGATTTAAAATTCACTGAATTTTCCATAGTGGTTTTTTATTGTAAATTTTAATGTTCCTGGGAATTTTATTTTCAGTCGATTTCATTTATCAGCTGGAATAGCAGAATTAAAACCAAAATAAAAATTTATGTGTCTACATTATATATAATATTTATCTGTCAATCATATATCGGCAAATATTCCATATGCAGTATCTGTTACTGCCCTAGCATGCCAATCTCTTCAAATCGTCTGTTCCTATTAAATTACGCAATGTTTCAGAATACTGTAAAATACTTTATTTTAGCTGGAAATGACGTTTTGGGTGTTTTGTTTATAACTTATTTATAACTAATTTTTGACACGTTGAATGTAAAATATAGGAAAAAGGGTATATTCAATGGATTTTATTTTCAATGAATCAGCCCTACAGCGAAAATAGTGAAAACAATATTCAAGCGATAATTAAGTAGTATACCACAAACAAAATTATCTGTATTCAGATATGTGGCCGATGTATCAATATTGTCTGTCTCCATGGAAACACGGTATCAGTCTCCTCAATTCATGTACTGGTGATTTAGTGCACTGACAAACTATAGCGAATGTTTTTGAAATTTAACAGCTGACATCAGACTTGTAATTACCTCGCCACTGATTTGTACATCAGTACACCCGAGAGCATCGTTTCCGTATATCATTTGACACTGCTGGTCTGTGCCATAGATTAAACCCGGTGCTGGTTCATTCTTATAATCAATTTTCAGTATGTTACCAGATGATGGTAGTTGGTTCAGACATCCAGAATCGTTAGAACTGCAATAAAAACATCTCAGTTAGTTAAAGCAGCAACAATTTGTACAGAGGTTGGTAGATCACTTCAGGCCAGAATTTTTTTATTCCTCAATTCTTTCTTGGGTTTTTATCAGGCAAAATTTTTTGAGGAGGGCGGGAACAAAATAAAATTAATTCTTTTTTGTGTTAGATTCTCAAAGAATTGTAAGTGAGATCATTGATTGAAGAGAAGAAATAAAATGTTATTCCATGTATAACCTTGTTTCTCATCTGCCCAAGACTTTGGTACTTTGATCATGTTACTCCTACGAAAATGCAACTTGGATTTGATATGCGTTGGGCGATAAAAAAATGAAGATAAAAATAAAAAAATTTTAGCATTTTTTTGCGCTTACAAGTCGGCGGGCGCGAGAAATTATGCTGAAATAAAATTTTATTTTTATTTCATTTTTGGCTCCTGTTCATTCGGCTGGTTCGCGAAACAAGGGATAATAAAAGTCTGGCCTCAATTGGCTATTGACTGGAGAGCAAGACTGAGACAAGAAATTGGTTGATGTCATGTACTTGAACAAATACAACATTATAAAGCTGAATATTTTTTTTTATAAAAGTATGTAGCCAATGGGAAATATGTTCACTCAAAACTAACAATGAAATCATGCAAAAATTCATAAAAATGTGCAAAAAGGTTAACATAAGAACATTTGTTTTTTAACAATGTCATCTCACCAACATCAAGTCTGAGATAAAATTCGGCCAGGCAGATGTTGTGTTAAATATTAATCCAAGTGAATTCCCATCATGCTCTACAACATGGTGATGTATATGGGTTTAAATTTCAGGCATATTCAGTGGGTTTTAAATTCACGGTTTTATCATTTAGATAATGTGTTCTATGCTAAATTTTACATATTCACTGGGTTTTAATTCAGCGCATTTTCCAGTCAGCGAAATAAGCAAAATTAAAACCCAGTGAATAATTAACCCATTTAATGTATATATAGGTTTCACACAACAATAAGAAAATGCATTCCTATGTAAGGTGACATCAGCATTTTGCCATTGCTGCTACAATTTTTTAAATTCTGACACAAGATTAATTAATTAGTCCTCTAATAAAAGTTGGATCCCGATTCTGACAATAGTTGTGTTCACTCTACTCGAAATACGGGCTAAAATTTAAGCTGATTTGGCTTATCTCCACATATTTGCATTTCAGTTAGACCCAACTGCGCCTACGCATTGGGAGGGCCAGTCCTTACCATGGGCAAGGGGCGCCATCAGTTGGTGAACTTTGTTAAGCCACTGTTTACAAACATCTTTCTAATTTAGCTTGCATATCCAGGTAAGCATATTTTCTGTTCCTCGGCGAGGAGTCCATAATTTCGTGTATAATATTCACACACATTTTGTTAACTCATGCTAAGGGTCTGGGATGTGTCTTAAAATCAGATCAGATTTCATCCTTACTTAGCATTCCTTAGCCCGTCCTAAGCGTTCATGCGCATTTTCTTAGCACGAGCTAAGAAGCTGTGGGTGAACGCAACAATATTTATTAGATTCTCATTCTATACCCTTCATTACATAATTATTTCAGCAATTTACTAACAATATCAGCAGAAAAAAGAACTTACTCTAAGAATTGTTTAATAGCTGCATCACTACACCATGACCATTTCTCTGAGTTGACCCCACCTACTGGATAACCCGTCATGATGTTGACTCTGTCAGCACAGGTGTTTTGATCCCCATCATGGCGCATACCAAGGCTGAAATTAAAATGTTGTAAGTCATTGCATGGTGTTTGAAACATCTGTACTCTTAAAGTGGCGGAGTTGTCACCTGCGCATGCATCAAACGGCCATAGTGTGTCAATGTTTACAAACAAGAGTTTACCCATGAACCTTTGCATTTTTAGCGTGGGTTATTATCATTGCTTGGGACTCAATTCCCACATGTGCGCAGGTGACGACCCTCTCGCTTTAATATTTTGTTTGTTTTAAATAGCATGCCATATACATATAACGGTCACTATTGGTAAAAAGTGTGAGATTAGGGCTAGATAGTGACACTTTCTCAAGAATATATTATCAGTATCAATGAAAATTGTTTTGGTGTGCAGTGGTGAGAATTTTTCCTGCAAACTTAATTTCATTTAGTGATCATATATTCCCAGAATTTTATGGATGACTGACAATTTTGACATCTTCGTTGGAAAGAATCCAATCCTAGCCTCCTCGTACAGACAGACTGATTCAGAGTTCACAATTTTAGTGCTTCCACACTATTGAAATAACATGCAAGATATGTCAAATATCTGGTTATAATTTTTTTAATGATTTGGCATTTATTAATTTTGAAATATTACAATAATGTGAAATACACACAGAATTACACATTAACTGTTATACTGTGGAATACTTTATTTTCGCTGGAATTAATTTTCGCTGAAAAGGCTTTTTGGGCATTTTGTATGGAATTTATTTTCACTGATTTTTGATGAGTTTAATGTGAAATATAGGAAAAAAAGTATATTCGCTGGATTTTATTTTCACGGAATCATCCTTTCAGCGAAAATAAATTCCAAGCGAAAATAAAGTATTCTACAGTACATTCAGTTGAGAGAACCACTTACTTGTGTCCGATTTCATGTGCTAAAGTAAGCACTAATTCCATTGGTCCACTGTCTTCACTGATAGAATACATTGCACCAGGGTTACATGCTCCGTATTTATAAGCCAAACCAGTGGCCATGTAGTCACCCATGTAAGAAAGGTCCACCCTGTGAGTATGACAAAAACTTGTTGACAATATCATGCTTGTACAGCATACCAGTTTATAACTTTTTTCCTGATTGCTTTACATACAGGTCCTAACTCTCTCTTACTCTTAAAATATAAATATTTATAATTCAAAATTATATATTCTCACAATTTAAAATCGATTGTTCTCATTTTGTCTTAAAAGTATGAAATTTGAGAAACTATGCAAAGTGCTAGTTGAAATATTGCCTCTTTTTTGTTTTTAAATTTTATTGTCGTCATGCTGTTTTATCATCTGCTGTACACAGTAAAACCAAAACAAAAATATTATATAAAAACAAATGTGTTGAATGATAAATAAATCATCGCTGAGGGCGTTCTCTTAAATATTAATATCAGTGTGGTGACCTCATTTCGAGATTCGTATTACCTGGTTATGAGTGCTGCTATGTCAAAATGCAGTGGACTAGATTCGTCTGAAATGTACTTTGGTATCATATAGTTGCGGAATCTGTTCAGCGAAGTATCTGCGTCAGCAACAACCTCTGGCTCTTGCTATTTAAAATATAGTAATGGAAGGTTATTAGCAAGATGGAATACAAATGCATGCTGGCGTCTGATTGACTTGATGGACCTCTCATCCGTTCGACTGTTACTTAAATTTTGGTATAACATTATTTTTCTTGGTATGTGTGGAATTCTGATCAGACTACTGGATGGTGAACAACGTTCAATAACGAGTTCGATAAAATATAAATAGTGAAAACTTGTTCCTACATGTTCATGCTTTCATCTTACAAATAGTTTTATCCCACGTTCGAATTGGAAACTAACAATTTGTAATTATATAACTTATATAAAGCTTAATTCGTGATATTATTATTATTGAACAAACAATGCATTTGTCATCATCTCGTACATGACACGTTGCGACAACCATCGATCTTTACATCCCGGATGTACATACCCCAGCTATTATTTCTAGTTTTGTTAAGTACAGAGTTATATCCACGCCTAAGGAATCATCGTCGTAAAGTGCAGCCACCTGAAATATAAAATGTGAATGTAAAATCAAAGTTTTATACCGGCATTTTACCTATTTTCATATTATATCTTGTAAAATGTGTTCGTGTATATTGCAAAAAATAAAAAGCGATTGTGTCTCAAGACAGTGTGCACTGTTTCTCTTTAAAAAGCGGTAATACTACACTATACAAAATGTTAATTTCATTTCTTTAAGTGCATCAATAATAAAGATAGAATGAAATGCGCAATCGACATACTCTGCAATGTACGTACTTACCCCATTCAACATAGAAAGTATATACTGAGCTGTGTCGTCACCATGGTAACTATACATAGTGGAGTCCGCTACAACTTGTAACTCGACGTAATGGGGTCCGTAACTACTTCTCTTTGTTCTCAGATTTGGGAAGGCTGTATTATTAAAATTAAAATAAGTGTGTTTGTTTTCCCTTTCTAAGTGATTTTTATTGTTAACATGTAGTTTGCCTTGGACTAAACACAAATACTTATCAATTTCTACTTGTTTATGGTACGTCAGAAACAAAATAAATACTTCTATTATATCTGTCTAACTGAAAATATGAGTACAAGGTGGTGGTGAACTAACCTAACATAGTTTTCAATGCAGGATTTCTGTAAATATTCAATATTCTAAAATAAAATCGTATTTAACTTAGTATTTTACGATTCTATCTGTTTTCATCACCTAAACTTTAGGGCACTTGACCAAAGCTTGAGTACCCGCCCTTTGAAATGTGGCTTAAATTTTACCCCTAAGCGCGTTTTTTTTTATTGTAAAACTACTCTCTTCACGTGCAAGTTTCAAAAAATATAAACTAAGGTCGCGTGAACATATAAACTAATTAATAAACGTGGGCAGCCGTTTCATTTTTTCAACTGCATGCCCGAGGCCCTATACATTCCCCCTATCCTTGGTGAAATACATATGGTACGATTCATCCGTACGTCACTGTGTCCAATCATATTAATATATAATGCAGTGTTGAAGAAGAAGAAGATGGTGGGTGTTCAAAAAAGGACACCGTGCGTCTGTGTAAATCATGGTGGAGATAGGTCGTTCACAGCACCAACCGTGATTGCGTATGTATTCGTTCGTCATCTCAAAAGAATGTATTTCTTTCATTACCGAACGGCTACAGCCCGAGATGGCCTTCTTTAAATTCAACCACATCTCGTCGCCGAAGGGCACAACTTATTTGTTTTGTTTTTCATCATTGAATGTAGTGTAGTTATATTGAAATTTGTTTGTGTAAAGTAAACTCTCGTGTATATTTAAGAATTATATATATTTATTATCTACTAGTATTTGACGTTGTTACTAGCACCGGTGAGACTTCAGAGTCACCCGATTTTGCACTTCATTCACTTACCCTGTGAGGGCGCAGTGCTTCGCCTATGTATTATATGGGCGTTGTCGCTTTCAGTGTTTGGGATATAGTCGTAATGATCTGATTTCACTGGCTGGATGTACACCGTGTAGTTTCCGTACATTATCAAACCAATCTAAAAATGAAAGAACAGAAAATAAACTGTGAGGAACAATTTAAACCTAGGAACTCACGGAAATTGTGATGAACTTGAAGATTAAACCAAAGATCGATGGTGTTCTGCTATCTCGTCATATCAGACGCAGAGCATATGACAACCGGAAATGGTAAAATCATATCACATGACTTATGAATCATAAATCTCGCATTCAAAAAGTAGTCATGAAGGAGTATCTTACTTTATACAGTGTCGAAATTCGTTTTTTGATAAATAAATTGAAACCGATATGAAATCCGGAATATATCTACATGTATAGATAAACTTATATTCAACGCGAGTACACAGTTATTCTTTGCCACAAAAAGTCGATTACTCATACACGTACCTAGTCTACTACGAGTTGGTGCCCAGTCGCCCCCCATACATGCACACTGCGTTTTAACTGTCAATGAAATCATGAAGATGCACATTTGCATGTCGTATTTCTCATTTTTTTTCTATTTTATGTGGCATAGTCAACGTTGGTTTTCAATGCCAGTGGAAATTTAGCCCTTGTCTGGTCCGACGTAAAATTTGACTGTCTCATTAGCACTTACCAATCGATCGTCAAACACTCCAACATATGCCTTGGAGTCTTCGTGGTTTTGTGAATGTCCATAATAACACGGGTTGCTAGGTAACGTCTCAAGCCAAGTAGAACCATTGCCGGCGGAGTAATGGATATGGAAACCAGGGCTGAGTAGTTTAGTGTTTGGCCGAGTGTCTAAGAGGAAATCTTCCCCAAATGCGTTGATTTTATGGTGCATGGTTGTCGTGGTTTGTCTTGCATTTCTCTTCTTTCGTTCGGGTTTAACAATCTCATATTCTGGAACTGAATTGTGTGAGAAATTATTTACTATGTACTACTTGGCTATCAACTGCTGTCATCTCTCATAAAATAAAACTCACATAATAGCTTTCCCAAAATGTTTTAGATCTATGGTCGACAAGAAGCTCATTTGGTCCAAAATTATCACCAACAAAAAGCTAAAAAAATACTTTAAAATAGACAAAATGCCGCACCACAATGTCCCTGGGAGACATTATGGCGCCCAAAGAAATTGATCAAAATACATAAAGCGTCACAGCCGTACAGCACGCATGCTAAATTTATGTAAACAAATAATGTATATCACACGTGTTGTCGTGATGCGTCGAATAGACCTCCCCCCCCTCCAACGAGTCGTGACGATCGCAGTGCATTACAAAGTAATATGATTAAGAATATTCACGTTTGTTTCCAAACGGGTAGCAATGTCAAATATTGATTTATTAATAATCCCAATAATAATTTTAGTATTTTATCATAAAAAAAATCTATAGTGCATTTCTGTATTTAAGTTCACAAATTTGCTTCCAAATTGACATCGTTATGAAATATTTATGTTAATCATCTGCATAGATTGTCCAGAAGGTCAGTCGTGACCAATATATATTTGTAACACCTTGCACAGGATGCCGTCCATCCAAATATTGTAATGCCTGCCATATTTGGCATACACATCGTGACGTGAAAAATATCACGTACAATTTGATCAATACGCAACAAACTACCAATCATGAACAGCACAATGGTTGTTGGATTAGTACTCGTAATCGGTAGATCGAAGTGCAAATTCTACTTGGGAAGCCCAAAAACATTTGCCGAGATTCATTCACTATTGGGTGCGATTTGGGGTTGCATTGTTTTAAGGTCCGCTTGTGTTCGACATGGCCTAGTCACACAGCCCAAATACGGATTATGGTTCCTGTCGCAAAATTCACTATACTTACCGCCGGCATTTGAATTTGCACATAAAAAAGCCTGGAGAGATAATGTTGCCAGATTGACTATCGAAACCTAAGACCTAACCTGCTAATCAGAGAGCAACAGTTTCTTTCAGCGTACTAAATTATGCCTTACATATATGCCACAAATGTGGCTTTCCAATGATGGGAACTGTTACCTGGCACAAAACATTTATTTTATTATTTTTTTTCAAAAAAAAAAAAAACGTAACGCGCATTGATCATTGTGTATAAATACATTTAGTCTTACTTCCTCTACTATTATATTTATTGTTTTATATTTCAGTGGTAAGTTTATGAACGCACGCGGTGTTTCAGTATAAATAAGCTTATCATCGACCCATATCGACGGCCCAATACAGTTCCTCGCACCTGTTGTTCTCCGCACTAAGCTGTAGCATGACTCACTGAATCCATGTTGACTGTGATTCAACAACCCTGGGTCGTCTTTTGTAATTTATCAACCATGTTTAATTTTGATTTTGTATATTGTTATAATTAAATGTATGTATTTATCCATACGTGCCATCTGGTGTTGATGTACAGCGCGTGACGTGGGCAATGCGATAATTAATTTTCCCATTACGTCATATTCCATATAATGGATAGTTAAGTGTTTCCAGTTGATGATAGTTTGGGCCGTCGGCTCCGATAAACTCCGATATTTTATTGATATTTGAGTGCGCCCCACCTTGCATGCACAGTTCGAGTTTGAAGTGCGGCACAGTTCATGTGAAAGGCACTTGTTGTAGTAAATGCAGTGGTGGACAATAGTTCAAATTCATTCGAATTCTATATTTGAAAAAAAATCTGTGTTTCACTAATATTTATCATGGATTAACAAACTAAATTAAAGTCGCCGCTCGACTCTGGAACATCGATATCCAGCAGTTTACATCATTTTGTCAAATGTACATTCTGTGTACGTCCTTTGTTTTTCCAGGTAATTTCGAAGACAGGTTGCCAAATGCGAAATAACATGCCAATAATCTTCTCCCTCTAGATACCTTGATGATATTGTGGCATTATGAGATTTTAATAACGCATTTGAATGAATAATTTCATTGCAATAGGTGTGCAACTGTGTCGTAATCAATACAGTAGCCTGAGCTGCGGTCGCGAATGTAGATGAATTTACATTGACTTAAAGCGCGGCTGTCGTCGCACTGGGCTTGTGCGACATTAGTGTTGATAAAACATTGATTTTTCCACAATCTAATGGAAATCACAAGTATGAGGTTTGACCTGGGCGCGAATTATCGAGTGACTTCTTCGATATGTTCCAACCACCTAAAAAATACCTAATTAAAGCTTCGTAACTCCTCAGTTTGTACTCGTTGATCTGCGCAACAGTCAACGTCGCCATCTTGGTTTATATAAGACCCATATATCTTGCGCATGCGTGGCGCGACGAGTACCACCCTTTAAAAACCACGATAGTCCGGAGAAGTTTCATTTTTTTGTATCGCACTGTTTTAGCTGAGTATTAGAGAATAGCATTGTTATTTTACCGAATTATATTATGACCTGACTGATGTCTTCTCTTAGTAAGTTCCTGTCAGCAGCGCATTTTCCCACAAAAGGAAGAGTATCTTTAAATCGGGAGAATTCGCTAGATTTAGAAACAAATGTACGTTTTAATCAGGAGAAAATTACTCGGTACAAAGACGTTTTTTGACAACCCGAAGATGCACAATTGACGAGGCCCGTTTGCGTTTAAAACAGCCAAGCAGTAAACTATCCATTCGTTACAGTATGGGTTACCAACTTGAATGTTCCAAAACAAGTCTTTTTTCTAAACTCATTTGTTTTCACCTACACAATTCATTTGGAGATTTGTAAAAAATGAAGCACTTTAATGAATACTAACTGTGAGAATGTCTCTTTGTTTGGAGATAATCCCCATTTCGGAGGCTAGCCTTGCTGTCTATTCCGTCAATAAATCGCCTCACCGATACGACTTGCATTATTTTAATTAATACGATGATTACATTGTTTTCAGAATACCCTCCTCGCATAAAAGTTTATTTCCAAGTATATGGCTATTATACATATGATAACAATGCCTTGGTATTCGCTATATACTAGTAGCAAACTTACCTTCGTCGAGATCACGCGTACCAAAGTAAAACTGAATATCTCTTTCTTTCAAATTATGATGGAACTGAAAATAAATAAATAAATCGGATTATAATTTAATTATACTGGGTTCGTAGATTAGTGGATCGTATTATCGTTCACACTCCACATTCGCAGATTCAGTAATATCATTACTGCAACTTTGAAAAGTTTCCTAGGAAATGTTTTTGTTGATGTCATTATTGTTGTCCATGTTATAAATAACAAATAACACAGCACAAGAGAGTGTACCTGATTGGTTACACAACACTGACGTATCAAATTTAAATATGCTTCAACTCAACTAGATCATTGCGCAGTTCGCAAATAATGGTCGAGATCATATACCCTAGTAGAAAGGCACTAGGATCTTTGACGAGACGTTTTATATCCATTCAAAGAGCATTTAGTGGGGGGAATTGGGGATTTGTAAGGTACTTGAGACAAATTCAAGTTTGTCGGGGTGGTTCCTGAAAATATTTTCATTAGTACATGGGGTAACGGAAGTTATGATATATAATGTTCAGGGAGTGATGTTTCACATATATCCATTTAAAAATTATAATTGCTGTATGAAGATTCCTTTGGGATTTTGATGTAATTTAACTGAATCCTAAAAGTATTAAAATTTCATCAGTTGTTTTCATGCGTTCCTTGGTCATTTTTATTTAAACTTGGTATGAGCATAACACAATGATTTACTGAAGTTTCTTTTGTGATTCAATTTATAAGGACTGACTAGAGGCCATGTCGGTTTTATTTTCACGTGTTGACCATTTCTCTGATGTATCTTGACTGATATTTGCTCAAAATAGGCACAAAGACATGATTTAACGGTATTCATGTGTACATTAGTTTAAACTAGTCATTTGTAGTTTCTCAAGTGTACCTGGTCCGTTAGACTTATTTGGTTTTAAAGGGCATCGATGCTAAATTGTTTTGTATTATTCATCACAATCGCGGCTTCCGTAAAATTGTAGTCGTATTTCCAAATGTTTTATAAAAAGACTGCATTGCATATTTTAACCTAGCTAATTAACCGACCATGTCATTCAGTTCTGTGGCGTAGAGCATTTGATTAAATAAACTGAATTTCAGATAATTTAAGGCACAGCTGTAACAATTCTGAGTCCATTATTTATTCAATCATTAATTTCAACGCAATACGTCAGAATAATGAACACCAAATCTCAACCTTGAACTTCCGATATCTAACATGAAGACCGCCAAGTGTACGTGGTACTGACACTGGCTAGTTAGAGTCATTTGCCTGAAAGTAAATTGTATTACTTTAAATGAACTGCTTTCCACCTTTATCAAGGCGACAAAAACAACGTCAGTGTGCTATTGTTACTGTAAGTGGCTACGATATGTACGGCATACAATTGTCAATGGGGGTCATTGAATAATGGTTTGTTACGAGTCATGAGACGCCCGGTCGGTGTACAGTGGTCATGCAGACACGGTGGGAAAGGGATCGGATGGGAAAGGGAAATAATGCGCATGGCAGTACCGACGCGTTAGCATGGCTCTTATGGGATACATGTTGTCTGGAATTGAAGTCTGACTGTACTGCATCACTAATCACATTCGCCCACAAACTTCCCTACGTGTACGTATACTGTTTGTAAGTTATTTACATACCCAACAAATTCACCTGCAAGCATTTCGACCGTGAAATATCAGTCGGCTGTGTCGGGGAGACTTAAATTAAAATACGTGTTTGCAAGTGCCAAGGACAGTCGTGGGTGTTATTCCTTAATTATAACGCATCTCCAATTTAATTGAATAAAATAGTAAATACGTCTGTTATTAACGTCACGGATTTGTTTCACAATCACTAATATTGGGGTAGATTACTGTAATTGGGTTAATAGTTCTGGAACGAGGATAAAACCAGCCAGGTGGACTTGCTGAAAACTGATGTGATATATTTTCATCGTATTTTACCACTGTATAATATGCAGTCTGAATTATATATATCCTTTCTTACCTGTAGTCCTGCTACGTCTACTGACGATTTAGCTAATGATGGCTTTGATAGGCACAACAGACAGTATATCACGACCAATACGACACAGTTCAAGCAGCGCGTTAGATCCATTATGACGACCGACCTAGAAGTGGGCGACTGGTGTCTGAAATATGACTGTTCATCGACTCTCTACCCGAGCACTGATTCATCTGTAACACGTTGCTCATAATATCACCATGATTTGTCCTATGCATAATCCGTGTTTTGTGTTTAACAAGCGTCAGCTGGAGCCATAGGTGTGATGTCATCCACTGTACAGAATTCGCTATCGGCGCGACCAGTAACCTTACACCGCTCGCTCTTTGCATATTCATAATGGCAAGCCTGTTACACTTGGTTGGCGACAGTAAATCACCTCATTGGCCGACTCTGTTGTTACTAATGAGCCCCGAACATGGGAAAATACAGTTGCGGTATTGGAAACAAACAAATGTGTTAACACATATCACGCTTCCGTCCAGGGGTGGTTCGCTGTTTGGCATAATGTTAATACGATAACGTACAACCCCGACATAAAGCTGTAAACGTTTCGTTTAACTACGTAGCACACACCGCGTCATGAAAATTTATACTGCCGAAAACATTTTTATTCCGTGATTTTTCTAGCATATTTATCTTATCAATAAGACGGGACAGCTTCTTCTCATGGTATGGGATAATATAACTACCTATCAGTGATTAGTAAGCGAAAATTTAAACTCAGTGTATGTAGCCATGTCTTTGTACAGTATATATTGTAATGGCGTACTTACTGCATATAATATTTGCCTATCATATTAGTAATACGAATGACCCTCAGGAATGCATTCGCAACGACACCACCTGTTGCACACTGTACATTACTTTCGGTGTCGATATTTCATTTCAGTTTATTCGACCCTTACTCATTCATGCATCAACTGTACATATTCTGGGTGGAGTGTTCGTCCGGGAAATTAGTTGTGACCTCTCTCTGCGTTCCGTGAATCTGAAATCCAGAAAACTTGATATGGATTACTATATTTTGCATTGTTGCCATGACAACAATGCCATTATTAATCTGTGACAAGTATTGTATTGCTCTGCCAGCCAATTTATTTTACCGCAATCCTAAACCGTGTTTGTAACAATATCATGTGCCCCGTCTGGTCCAATGCCACTGATCTAGGCACGTAAATACGTGTGCTGGTTCCACATTTTTTTTACCTACTGCTATCATCCGTGATTTTAGTCCAAGCTATTAAAGAACACAATTTTGTTAGCAACAAAATTTATATTGAAATAAACATTTATAAATATTATAAAAATATTGCATGGGCTATTGCATGGTCGATTAGTTTCCAACCAGGGTGGATAATTATGAATTTTTTGGTCACAAAAATTAACCTAAATAAGTGTGAAATGATGTGCTAGTGTATATCTGGAGGTCATTAGTTGTTATCCTTTGTGTTGTTACATTATTTACCCATAATCTGTTATAATAATTGATCAATTTATCATTGTAATGTGTTTTTAATTTGAAGTCGTGCATCCAATCATTTGTATTATGTATATACGAGTATGCGTCACACCTATTTTTGTGGGAAACTGCGGCCCGGGAGGCTAAACCCACCTCATGAAACAAACTTTCAAGAAAAAAAAAATCACCTCTTAAAGTGATTTAAACATAGCTTTGATTCCTGAATTTTTATCAAAAAAGGGACTCCTTGACCCTTGAAAATGTCAAAAAGGATCCCATTTCCCATTTTAAATCATAATTTACAAACCATTGGGTGCCTCACATACCTGTTAATATATTTTTATTAGTGACCACCGGGATCAGTTCATCGCTAACCTTTAGTGTCTCACTTAGGTAAAACGTGTAGTATCTTACTACTCCCTTGTTAACTATTAGTCCTTTGTAACCCTTACTATCATTACTATGAGTGTATATCCTGCGAGTCCCATTCACTATAGCATTCTGTGGCTTCCTGCGTGTCATAGAGTTTTCCGTAGGCACTCTATATTAAAACCTTACACCATGTGCATTCTTGCTAAAAAAATAATAGGCCCCTAGGGCTGGCAGCACATTGACAAATCATACCCCTTATTGCGGACGCAATGTGAATTTAGCACCACCTAAAGCAGACATATTGAAGAAAAAACACCCCCTATTTTTGCACTCAAGTGCAGTGTTATTAACTCAAACAAGCTACTTGTGGTTGCTGTGTATGCAACTCCTATTGTTGTCATTCGTTGTTTGATGAAGAAAGATAAGAAGTATTGACATGATTGTGAATATCAATATTTATTTGATAGTTTAATACACAATGCACACAACTTCGCCAGGATTCTTATTCCATCAGATACCATTGCGCAATTTTATGTTCAGCTCCGATTGACTTTGACATGAATACAGGGCAGAAAACCCAGAAAACTAAACTTAAGAAAGCAGGAGCTGAAAGACGCGACCCTCTCACTCAGGAACTTCAGGGGTACCTATGCTTGTATCAATATTTAAAATTAATCCCTCAAATGTGGGGAGGCCATTATAACTCTGGCCCTTATTGACGGCACAATTAAGTGGAAAAAAAGATATTCATTAACACTAAAAACATACTGCCATATACTTAGAGAAAGGGTTTAAATTTGCGGGGGTTATTTGATTACAACTAAGATGAAGATTAGGTGCAGGATCAAAATGTCACCCTGTATGACGGAATTGCTCCATACTTCTTAGTCCATAGCGGGCTTTAAAGAGTGAATATCATGCTGGGATTTCAGCCTAGTATTTTATGGTTGTTACAGGATTAGGTCTACAGTATGTCTCAAATCATAGAGACATAAGGTAAGTCGCATAATAGTAGAACTAACCACCAAAGCCAAATTGTTGTTTTTGGCTTTTTTCAAGAAACGGGCGAGTACCATCCCTATACAAGAACAAATAATTTCATAGACGCAAAATCAATCGCATCTGATGATCAGATGTGATGCAAATATATAACATGGTTAATTTGGAAAATTGGGGCTATCAATTTGATTCAAAGACTACCAATGTCCGCCTTCGTTTTGATCATCGAGTGCCTTAAAATTCTTCATCCGAATTCCGCGCTGTGTTTTTTATGCTTCCCTGGCACACATCTACAGTAGGCATATTTAATACTGCCTGCTTCTAGGACGAACAATTGGCAAGAGCCGCGATTGATAACTCTCAAATCGGTAGCCATCTTATCGATCTGTGCGAATGAGGCCGAGGCACGAAAGTGTGGATGACTCAGGGGATGACTTTCCGTATGTTTGTAAACATAGTTTTTAACCTCCGCCATTGCTGGAGGTACGGGTCACGTGGTTACAAACGCAGAAATTGGTGTCGTCATAGGAGCCACATGTCATCGCAACAATGGCGGAGTCCGAACTACCGGTAAGTAATGAATAAGGTTTTTCTATCCAAACTTTGCTATCCAATTACGCAACTGTATGTTTTTAAATAAAATACCTGTATGGTAGACAATTTAGTAGAAGACAAATTGTTTTCGTTAGCGTGGGGCAAAGTTGGTTAGCGATGGAAAGAAGGAAAATCCATCGTCGTCGGTCCTTGGGGGTCGTGGCTAGGGTTGAGTATTGAACTTACTGATCGGGTCCTCCTCGGTTTAGACATTTCCAGAACGCAGTAAATTGAATTCATTTTTTTTAATTTATCGTACAGGATTGTGTATTTCTATTTCATGAGCATTTTGTTGGTTTTATGATATCCGAGAAGCGACGGCTTATTTTCTGCCCGGGAATTAAATTAAACGTTCTGAAAATGATGCTATGTACTTGCGATCTTACTAATTACTGCCCGGGACCGATATTCAACTATTTTACAAACTTAACTGGTTGAAATCATTTTTACACAGTACCTGTCGTAAAATGTCACGTGACTGTATATACAATAAAGACACAGATTATGACTGTATATAAAATAAACTTTGAAGACACAGATTTAACATTATACACAAGAGTATAGAGTTATCCCTCCACCGGCAAGTGACACATTTACACCCCCGCCTTGTCGTGATAATTATGTGGCTGTCACATTAAGCACAGGTGGTACATGTGTAAAGTGGAACCAAACGATACAATTTATCAATTTGTAAAACATCTGGGGTAAACCTTATCATGAACGCAGTAGGCCTATCGTACACTGTAACATAAAATATTGCTATTGTCGCGTTTTATTGTTCTAAGTGCAAAAATATTTCTATAAATACATGATATCCATATGTTCACATATTGTGTCATTTTGTTTGTATATGTGGCGATGGAAAACTAAAGTATACCGCTATTAATGGACGTATGTTCTAGTGTTAATCACTGAAAGCTAAAGTATACCGCTATTAATGGACGTATGTTCTAGTGTTAATCACGGAAAGCTAAAGTTACACGGAGTTTTGGCATAATTACACATATTTTTACACTGCTAACTTTTTGACACGATGTTACACAATATAATGTCTGGCAAATTAATGTTCCTTCTTAATTCACTCAAATAATATTTTCCATAGACAGGTACATCGCCACTGCATATAAGTAAAACTTTGGGCCCATCAATGATTGACTCGCTCTCGTCCATAGCTTTAACACTGAATTGTACAGTTTATTTATCGAAGCTAAAGTACCATTGTACGAAGACTTATCTACTAATATTTTTGTTGTTAGTCCTTTAGGTCCTTCCTATTTTAATACATCTTTATAACAGTGTATAAGTGAGTATTTTTGCCCGGGCAGTCCCATTTCGTCCCAGGCAGTCCCGGGTAGTAATTAGTAGGACCCATGTACTTTCGTTTCTGTAACTTGATATGTGCAAGTACACGCATATTAGTTCTAACTGTCAAAGTGTAGAATGCACTTTATATCAACCCACACGTGTTTAATTCAACTTTCTGTTGGCGGCATGCTTTTTAATGACCATTTTCACAGAATTCAAGGTTCAAAATTAATTTGCCATTGACGACTGGCAAAGGATTATCAGAAGTTCAGCCGTTGTTACAGAGTGGTTTTGTAACTAAAATAAAATATGCTAAAACCTCTCTGATGCACTTTGTGTACTTTTTTTATTATCCAGACAAATGTTACACTAATGTCATCATCAAGTGATGAGATGCAAAGTAGTGTACAGGTTGTACAAAGACAAATCGGTGCAAAAGGGTGTGGAAACGGAAGAGTCAGAGTCAGTGAGAGGTGGGAGGAAGTCACAAGACGATCATGTACAGGAAGAGAGAGAATGAAGAAAACATTCATCAATCGTGAGTAATGCAATCATTTTATAATTTATTTTAAAT